CACAGCGCGCCCGCCGCACCCCGATTCGCATGAGGAGCGCTCCGCGATGAGTGCGAAGCAGGCGAAGAGCGCGGTGGACACAGGCGCGCCGCTCGACTCGCGGCCCGCCAGCCGGAAGGAGAACGATGAGGTGGAGATGGACGACGCGGAGCACGAGGTCGACGACGTGTCGGAGCGGCGATCGAAGAAGAAGCGCCGCGTGGTCAAGACGATGGACAAGAAGTACGAGTGCCCGCAGCCCGACTGTGGCAAGTCGTACTCGCGAGCCGAGCATCTGTATAGGCATCAATTGAATCGTGCGTGAGCGCCCGAAGTGCAACCCTCCGCTGCACCGTGCTGACCAGTGCGCAGATACGCCCAAGCAGATCTACTACTGCGACTTCCCAGGCTGCGATCGCAACTTCGTGCGGGCCGACCTGTGCGCGAGACATAAGGAACGCCACACGGCGAAGGGGTCTCACCTCCAGCGCAAAGACGCCTTCATGAACAGCCAGCGGCAGCAGCCGAATAATGTGACCAAGCCCGGGTCAACGAAAGACGTTGCGTCGACACACACCGAATCATCACCCAGTGACTCGGCGCATTCGGTGCAACAGCTGCCACTTCCAGACTCCAAGGCATACATCTCGCCAGCAACACAACTACCCCCGAGCCTCTACACCGCTGCGGGTGACCAACAGCCATATCCCAACCCATCTCAACACAATCAGCAGCTATCGTCGCTGCACACTGGAGGTCCGAATGGCGTGGATTCGCACCAAGGTGCCTCCGGAACGTACGGCACTTACCAGTCCAACTTCAACGGCGCCCAGCACGTTGTGCCCTCACCGTCGTCCAGCACTGCCAGACGCTACAGTGTGGACAGCCAGTTCAGCCGGCCGAATGCGATGACGAATGGACACGTGCAACCGCTTGCAATGCACCCTCCGCCAGTGCCAGGACACCAGCCGCAGACACCCGTGTACACTCAATCGCCGTATCAAACACAGGAACCTAGGGGAGCGAATCAGCAGTATCAAGCAAATTCTGCCACCGGTTCGCTGCCTCCCTTGCCCCCGTTCGAAATGCAGCCGCCGGCCTACAATAATCGCTCGAGTACCATGAATACCTCCGCCATGACAGCGGAATATCAGTTTCACCCAAGCAACGACGGGCCCGGTAACATGGTGCCTGAGCTCGATGCTTTTGGCCAATACACTGGAGGCTACATCATGCCCGTCTTTGGCATGGACAGCTTCAATCGCTCATCGCACACAGGCTTCGATTTTGTACAACTGATCGAGGACCCCAGTATGTCTTTCGTTGATGGGCCTTCGCCTCCGTTCGACTTGCATTACAACATGCAAGTACCTGGACTGGCACAACCCAAACTTGAGGCAGACAGTGCATTGCCTCAACTGCCTGACACAGAAGCGGACAATGACAAGTCGCCCGAGATATACGCGATGGATCTCTCCATGCGCGAGAGCAATATCACGGAGCAAAGGCAGAGGCGTATCATCAACATGGTAGAGAAATGGGAAGATATTGAGCGCGTGCCTGGACAAATGAGCAAGAATAAATTCCTGCCCGGTGATGTTACCGATCCAACGCATCCGCTGAGCGTCG